CAAGATCATTCCCCATTATAAATTCAACCCCTTGAACAGGGAATGAGTTTCTCACCACAACTTTGAAGAGTCCAGAGACCAACTTGGACTTTATATGAACACGATGTAAAGGTGCCGGTACATACGCCATTCCAATTCCTTGTACTATCGTACTTGCATTACAGGAGGTATCAGCATTGAATGGCAGAAGGCTGGACAGAATGAATGACTGGGAACCGCCAGTGTCCCTCAGTATCCTCACTGGTTTTTCATCCTCGGGGCATCCTGTTAGGGAGACAAGACCATCAAAAATGAAGGGCTTAAAACAGTCATCAGGTTCACTCAGGTTTGAGAGATCTGGGGAAGATCTCAGAGTTTTGACTAGGCCAACCCCTTTAGCTGGTTTTGGTGGTTGGGGTGCCTGTTTACGTTTCAGGGCCAAACAGTCAGAAACGATATGCCCCATTTTATAGCAATAAAAGCATTGTCTCTCCAATTTAGAAATTGGAGTGTTCTTAACCTGAGATTGTGACACATCTTTCCATGTCTTGTCACGAGGAGGTTGGTCAGATTTACACACAAAAACATTTTTGTGAGTAAGGGCAAATTCTTCAGCCAGAACAGCAGCGTCTTGTAAGGTAGTAGCCTTTTGCTCATTCAGGTACAACACTGTACGATCTGGTAGGCAGTTTTTGAACTCCTCCAACAATACCAACTCACGTAGTGAACTAAAGTCAGTAGCTTTAGTTGCCTGGCACCATCTGTCAAATAACATTCCTTTTTCCCTTGCAAACTCAACAAATGTTTGTGCAGTGGATTTTCTTAAGGCTCTGAACCGCTGCCTGTATGCCTCAGGCACCAGCTCATATGCGCGAAGTATGGCAGCTTTAACTTTGTCATACATAAGACTGTCTTCTATTGTGAGTGCTGCACATACTTCCTGTGCCTTACCAGTCAGTTTGCACTGCAACAAAAGGGACCAAACGTCTGTGGGCCAGTGAAGGGCAACAGCAATACGTTCAAACGCATTAAAATATGCTTCCACCTCCGTCTCTCGGAATGGTGGGACCAGGGCAACATTTTTGCTAATGTCAAATGTAGAAGGTGCCAAAGAAGAGGAAGGTGCATCTGGTGAAATACTGACATTGTCTTCAACTCTACCAGAATCTGTAGCGAGAACAGTGGTTGGTTTCTGAGACTGTAGTTCCAGTTGACGCATTTTAATGGCAGTTTCAGCTTCAATTTGTCTGCATTTAAGCTGGAACTCAAATTCATTCTTCCGTTCCTTAGCTTCAAGTTCTAGACGAACCTTTAAACGTGCCTCAACACTGGGATTCGAGGATTCAATAGAGAAGGGCTCAAACCGTGGGAGAGAGGCTGGTGGTTTATCCCCCTCTGGCTTGGCAGCAGCAGGTGGTGTTTTCCTTCCCTCCTCAGCACAAACCTCAGAATGATCAGCACTTCCAGGAAAGGTGGTCTCTTCTTTATCCACTTCCACTGCGAGTAGTCCTTTTTCAACTAAGCTACTAAAGACAACAGATTTTAATTCATGTTTGAGCAGCGACTTAGGCACATGGATACCCAAGTATGAAGCAATTTCATATAAATCATCTTTTCTACAGACATCAAACTGTTCTACAGTAGGATCACTTAAAAATTCTTCCAAATTAAACTGTGCCATGTTCAAAAATAATCCCGGACGAGCCCCCACTTATGTTACAACCCCACCCTAAAATTCCTAAAGTAAATTCTGGCACTGGGCTTTAACATAAAACTAAAAATTAATCCAAACAGTTGAGTAACAAAAGTATAATTTATTTTACAATCCAGATAAAAACAACTACTACAGGAGAAAAGAAAACACAGGGGAGCTTAAGACTTCAGGGTCTCCAAGGCCAAAATAATAAACAAAACACCCCCTTATAAATATAAAATAAAACAACCACTTGCTAAAGAAGAACTAAAGGAAAATACAAAACCTAAACTCCCTTACTAACCAAAAACAGGAGAAAACAGGTTACAACAAAAATGGCAGAGAACCCCTACCAGCTTCCACCTCTGGATAATTGTACAAAGTTGCTCACAGCAAACTTAAGACGGTTCTCACACACACAGCTCTCAAGCAGAGTCACAGCTCATGGCCCAGGTCAAACAAAAGGAGAGGGCTCTGGCATCTCCAGCTTGCTGCTTATATATGGCGGCTGACGAGCCCCAACACACTTCACCTGCAGCAATCAGGTAGAGCTGAAACAGAAAACACAGAGCTCTCTCAAAGAAAGAGAGCCCCTAGAGGTCAGTGACCGTAACAAGTACCTTAAAAAGTATGAATGTCCACATGCTTGTTCATTCACATTACAATCACAGGCTTTAATACATTTTATTGGAAGTTTGTGTGTTTGATTTTTAAAAACTGATAAGTGTGGCATGCACTTGTTTTCTAATTTAGTACAGCCAAATGCCTTCAAAAAAGAAAATGTATTTTTATTAAATCCAGTGAGTTATTCAGAACAAATTGTTATTTAATAAACAAAATCAATCTGTGAATAATTTAATCTGAGTATAAAGCAGTCCCTCAAAGACTTCCTGATTGTTTGTTTGATTTGTTTTAATCAAAATCATTTTGAATGTGATGCTACTTTAGAAACATTTGTGAGCAATTTAGTGATATTTTTCCCTGATTACCTCCTTTTCTAAATTCTGCATTTAGAAGATAAAAGATGAGAAAAATAACAGACAGATGGGACTCAAACATTTTCATTCTTAAAGGCACAGCTCCATGTTTGCTAATCGTCACATCGATCACAGACTATAAATGCAGACGTAAGAAATCCTGCCACCTGCAGATGGGCGTTATTTAAATGAGTAATTTAAATTGAATGTTTTAATCATTTTTATGGCAAAAAATTGGTAGAAGCATAAACTTATTTTTACACCCACCTCTCTTACAACACTAACATCATCCAATAAATTACTGTTCAGGTTAACTTGGTTGTAACATTCTGTTTTAGTTGGTATTTTCTACATCCATATCTATTCATATTTTCATATTTTCATGTCTGCCATCGCTGTGCTCACACTCATCGTGTTGCATTCATATTTTCATGCCTTTATGAACAAGCATCAGTCATTTTGAAAACTGAAATTGAAATTAAAATTCTTTCTGTAGAAGACTGGAAACTGGAGTTTCACCTTCCAGTAGCACACACATTGCCTGAGCTCCAGTGGAATGAGTTGGATGAAATCGTCTAATCAAAAGTCCAAATCTAAATGTAATGAATTTATTGCAAAAACTGAAAATTAGATTTTTATAAATTTAATTCATGCCACAGTTTTTCAGTTTTTATTTGAAAAACATTTTGGAAAACCACTTTGTTGGGGTTTTGAACTCTTACAAAGGACTGCAGCATCTTTAGCCTTGTGCTGTTTTTTAAATAATTTCTTCATCTCTAGGTGTGTGTTTTCATAACACCTTACAACCCCTCCCCCGGGAGTACAGGTGAAGGTCACTGGAAGACATCAGAGCTTTAAACTCTTCTCTCACTTTTCATCGATGGTCTCAAACCGCAGACTGAATATACCGTGTGCCTGATTTCTAACAGCCAGCTTGATAATGCTGGTTTGTTTGAAGAGGTTATCACAACCAGGGCTAAAGGTGAGTAGGGAAAAAAAAGTAATTGACCTCCTGATGAGGAGAGCGCAGCTGCGTCTTTGAAGCGACATGGTGATGTGGTGGTCCTTCACGCCGTTACTAGCATTTCATTTAGCTCACTAAGAGGAATTACATTTGTTCAGCGTTTCCTGCTTGATTAATTAGACAAGCAGTATTAGCTGTTTAATATTAATACTGGAACGTTTCCATCAGCGTCTCAGCCCGAGCATCAGATTAACTTTGTCAATGTAAACATTCAATCAAGTGTCCGATGGAAAGGCCAAGGCCAGTCAAAGTCACGGTATCTTGTCCTCCACAGGCCTGGCCAGCGTCCACGGAGGAATCTCCACCCAGGGCTGGTTTATTGGCCTCATGTCTGCCATCGCTCTGCTCACACTCATCGTATTGATTGCCTGCTTTGTCAACAGAAATAAAGGAGGAAAGTATTCCGGTAGGCACACCACACACACACGCACACACACACACACGCACACATGTTTGCGAGGCTATCTTTGTGGTGACTTTCCATTGACTTCCATTCATTTCTACTGCCTAAACCTTACCTTTACCCTTTTCCTAACCCTAACCAAAACTCAATTCATACCTTAGCCCTAACTCTGACCCCTGACCCAAAAACAGGGTTTCCCCTTGTGGGGACCAGGCTTTGGTCTCCACAAGGAGCATTTGGTCCCCACAATGTAATATGTGTCAGGAAAATCGTCCCCACAAAGTATTACAAACAAACGCACGCGCACACACACACACACACACACACACACACACACACACACACACACACACACACACACACACACACATCCTTATTCCCTTGTTTGAATACTAATTGTTGCCTAAAGCATCATTTTAATTCCATATAGTTGTTTGTTCATGTGAGAGAGGTGATCAATCATCAGACAGTGTACTTCCACACCACACAGTCATTTACTGCAGCAGTAGACGGAACAGGCTGCTGCTGTGTTTGCTCCTCCATGTCTCACAATTAAATTTTTTACGTTGTTGGTGTGGCGGGTTTATCTAATTCTGTGCATGAGGTCACTTTATAGAGAGTGACGGCCTTAGCTGGGCCTGCCTGACAGTTTGTTGTTCTCCTCATCAGAGGAAGCAGAGACATCATCAGCATCATTATTCACAGCTAACGGCCATGAGGGGCAGGGAGAACAACCACACACAGATCTGTGTTTCCTCATTTAACTCTCATTACCACTGACAGCTAGTGACTGCTCTTCTTAGGGTTCATGTGGCTCATCACCCCGGGCGTCATGGCCTGGGGGACGCCACAGGTTCACTTGTGTCCCTACCTGTTCTACACAGTGTAAAAGATTGGGGTTGAGAACTAAAACTGGCAAATGATGTCAGAGGTTGTGTTGTTCCTTTGTGCTAAATTAAAGGAAAATTACACAGTTTTCACAGAATCAAACATGTATACTCATGAGAAGCTCAAATTGGTGCTAAACTTTGTTGTACAAAAACATCCATCCTTTTAATAGATAGATAGATAGATAGATAGATAGATAGATAGATAGATAGATAGATAGATAGATAGATAGATAGATAGATAGATAGATAGATAGAACTGTCACTGCCTCCAGCAACTATTGCACTACAGTTCATACAATAATTAGCATTCTTACTGTTGACCAGGGGTCCCCAAACTTTTTCCTGCGAGGGCCACATAGCTGTTCCTTTCTGTGGTCGGGGGCCGGTCTTAGTTTTTGCAGTAAAAAAAAACAAAGAAATTCTTGTCGACACTTTTGGATAGATTTTTACCCAGAATGCAAATGGAAAAAACCGTGAGTGAAACGGTGACTGACGAGTATATATTCCATTGAGGGAAAGTAAGTTTCACATTTGCTCAAAAGCCCCCTGGTGGTTGAAGAAAAATCCACATATAAACCGGAAAATAAAATATATGAAAAAAAACACTGAATGCTCTCTGGTATGAGCAGGCGGGCCGGATCCGGCATTGTTCAGGGGGCCGGACCAAATGACGTGGCGGGCCGGATCCGGCCCGCGGGCCGTAGTTTGGGGACCCCTGCTGTTGACATTCACAGAAAGCATACAAAATATTCACAATCCAAAGTTTTCTTCGCCTTAAGCTCTGAATTGTGAAGTGATTGAAATCTTTTCCTAAATACTGTCATTGATGTTTGAAGTGGGAAAATGACTGCAGATAATTGGGAGCAGTCAGGTGACTCGTCCAGCTGCACCAATGGCCATCTGTCTGTCTCCTGTGGAAATCTCTTAGCTCTTTTCATCACTTTGTGTGCAGTGAAAGAAAAAGAAGACCTTCATCCAGACGTGGAGTCCCAGGGCATGAATGATGACACATTCTGTGAATACAGGTAAGCGTTCCACCTCCCCTCCCCATGAGGACAGCATCTCACCATCTCACTGCATCCCCATGAATGTCTGCCCCTCTTCTTTTCCTCCGTCTTCTCCTCGCTAAATTCTCTCTGCCTTTTTTTGTTCTCGCCGAAAAGACGGCCCAGATTCCACGAGGCTCCCGCAGAGCCTCGCTCTTCTCCTGCCGGAGACGTTAGATGGGCCGAGTAACCGTGAAGTATGTGATAACCGGTTTACATGTGGGCGTGGTCAGAGTAGCTGCTTTTAGACTCGGTGTTGTGTTGGTGTGTGATGAACAGTTCTGCTCTGATGTCACAGTTTTCTGCTCCCTGCTGGAGCCTCAAACCAATCAGAGTCATTGAATGCGCCTCATCTCCTGGGCAGTAATATCAGGGCATGTGTCATTGGTCCTTTAGTGGTTCTATTCATAACCGTCTGCCACAGCATGAGTCCCAGTCTAATTCCCCAATCAGTGGGATCCTCACTGCTAAACAAATGCTGATGTGATGAGGTTAAAGTGGCTCAGTGTGGCAGCAGTTAGATTTCATCATGTTCACTTCAGGAGCCCGTTGCCCTCAATGTTTAAAAAGGTTTCTACAAAATACTATCAAGTTCAAATTATTGACTAGTAATCATCATTTAGAGCTGTTAAATTCAGTCAAAAATGCATAATTTCACCAAAAAAGAGCTTAATTTTTAAAAATGTCTTGCAGTGAGGCTCTTTGAAGGTATTACAAGTTGTAGTTTTCCTACCGAAGCTTAAAGCTGCAGTTTGGAGCATTAACAGAAGTATGTTTTTTAACATTTGTTAAAACTCCATGTTGTGTCAGAATAATATGAGACAGATAATCTGTGAACAGATCCATTTTCTTCACCTCCTGCCTGAGCTGCTATTGCCATCTGAAGAAATGCACATATTCAAAAACAACCAATCAGAGCCAGTAGCAGGAGCTTAGTGCTGTCACTCACCCTCATGTATACACTTCCAAATGTGTTAATGGCAAAGAAACAACTTTCCGTTGCAGAAAACGGTTCATCCACCTTCACTAGATAGACAGTTAGTAAGCTAGCTAGCATTAACTAGCTAGCTTACTAGTTAATGCTAGTAAGCTAGCTAGCTAAAGCTAGAGTTAGGAAGGAGCTGTGGCAGAGCACAGGGAGGGTGGGGGTGTGAGTGGTGCATACATGAGGTTGATTGACAGCGTTTAGACCCTCCTAGTGGCTCTGATTGGTTGTTTCTGATGCAGCAGTGTATTTATTCAGATGGGTTTTTTCACAGATGATATGTCTTATATTATACTGTCATGACATAATGATAGATTTAACAAAAATGCAAAAAACACTTTCTATGAAAGTAAGATATTGTAACTTTATGTCATATGGCAGAGATAGGAAAGTGAAGGAATCCTCATGAGTAAAAAACCAATAAGATGAACTGCAGTTTTAACCATTTAAAGCAATACTGAACATCTCTATACATGGAAAACAACTCTATATTAGCAAATATTAAACTTCTACAATTACACAATAGGTTGCATTTATCACACTAGCTGTTAGTCTTAGCCGTCTGGATTAATTTACAGACTCACTGTGATATAACATATTTCTGCTACAGGTAAGAGAACTGCTATTGATAACACCAAAAAATCTGAAATGAAAGCAGACCAGGTTCAAAAACTTTGGCATCATTTTTACTGGAAGCCAAATAAGATTGATACTATTCTGTAAGGAAATGGCAGCAGTCAGCTAGCTTAGCTTAGCATAGCGTTTTTGAGTCATGACTGTAAATCATAATTGTGAATGTAGCTCTGTGTTTAGATTCACTAGCACTGTTTGCCTTGTTGGTTTGGAGTTTGTATCTGTATTTGCTGTGACTCCTGAGGCAGAAACCACCAACTGCTCCTGACAGAACACAACTCCAACTACCTGGGCCATGTATATTTTCTTATTTTTGCTATTTTGTGCTGTAGTCCATGTTAACAATCATATATTAACTCATGGTGTGATATAATGTCCCTTTAGGAATGAGCCAGAATGAGATTCTGTGGCATTATACCAAGAACCAAAGTCTCTTTTTTACATACATACAGCTTACTCTGACTATTCACAGATTCACCAGTTTGCAGATATTTTTGTGGAATATTTTTTTCTATGTTCCACAGAACATAGAAACCACTTCAAATAATTCACGGAAAATTCACCTATTTGTGAATTTGTTTGTAGCTTGAGAAGCTGAAATAGCGAGGCACAATGCTACTGGGCGAACTAATGACTGGTGTTAGCCCAACAGTTAGCAGTGTTTCTTCAACATTTATTTTCAATGCCACTGATTGATTGTCTGCTAGACTGATTGACTGGCTGATGGGCTGTACTCCCAAGAACTAGAATAAGGCAGACTGTAGATGTCCTCTGCTATAGCACCAGTTTTCACTGTGCATGTCGATGCACTTTAAAGTATATTTGATGTCTGAACTAATGAAATAGGTAGTTCTAAATGTATTTAGAGGGAGTCTCAAGTATTCCTAGATTTTAGCTATTTATGGGCCTAACACCCTTCTATACCAGGCGCTGTAATCATAAAAAGCAACAAATATAACTCCTGCTCCTGATGTAAGAGCAGTACTGGCTACAGATATTTTAAAGATCAAAGTTAATTGTGCAGCTTCCAACATTCAGTAAATTCACCACTTCTGCCTATTTTGTCAAAGCTTCTGCAATCGGCTCCTGAATAAGAGACTCTTACATAATGTTATATAGAACATTCTATGTAACAGTCTGCATTACAGGATGACAGCATGAGCAACCCCATCACCAGCCTTGTCCCAATGCACCCCACCCCTCTTTATGGCTCATCTGTCTTCCTTTGTAAAAGATACATCGTTGCACGTTCAGTCCACTCTGTTACTTTGAGAATCTATGAAAGCATCTGTGATTACGATCCATCGGTCAGCCTGAGGTAGAATCCGGTGTCCCTCATTAAAACCTGGGTGGAGGCAGCAATGGTGCTGGCCTGTACCTCCATCCCTACCCTGTGACCCTCAGAGCGAAGCTCTGGGTGGAATGCTGGGGAATCTAAACCCACTGTGCCTCTCCCACAGCGACAACGACGAGAAGCCGCTGAAGGGCAGCCAGCGCTCCCTCATTAGGGAGATCAAGGTGGCGGACAGCGGGGACAGCCTGGTGGACTACGGCGACGAGGACGTTCAGTTCAACGAAGACGGCTCATTCATCGGCGAGTACGGGAGCCGCAAGGAGAAGAGGGTGTCAGCCGAGGTCAAAGCCTCCACTCAGATCCCAGCGTAAGGAACAGAACGCCCAGTTAGCATCACTCTACCCACATGGAACCAACAAACCCAGGAGGACAGAGACGTTATCAAAGACTGCCGAACATTTTGTGTCAAAACGTAATGAGTCATTGCCAACTGCACACTGCCATTCTCTAAAGCTCTGTTCCTTCACACTGCAAAACGAGCATTACTAAATACCGTGTATATATAGTGTATATTGTATGTGTTGACTGTTCCTTTCTTTTATAATTATCACAAAAACTTTAGAGGTCGTGATTTGTTTTGTATTATTTTCTCTTCATATTGGTGTTTTCAGCTGCACTCTGGTTTGTATAAATGGTGAACTCACATTGCGCTCTGTCATTACATGAACCACTGACGTCACTGTGTTGCAGGACACAGGCGATGGGGGAGAAGTTGATATTTTTTCAGATGAGCAATTATTACTGACCTTTTTATATCTGAAACAATTCATTAAATTTGATGTAAGATGTGTATGAAAGTTTGCCTATTAACTTATTTTTCTCAGTGGTTTATACCTGACAAAATAATGAGGAAATCTACATAACACTGCATCACCGTAGCTATCCTAAGACATGAGTGTCCCTGTTATCTGCCTCGGCAGCTTCAGTCTTTGGTTAATGTGAAGCCCCTTCTCCATGGGTGTCCCCTGGCCACATTCCTCTCCATTTGCAGATCCTTCCTTGTTCCTCCCAGTTTTTTGGCACCACTGCAGGTTTCGGTAAGCTTGGGTGTTGTCACATCTGATAGTCCAGTAGACTCGGTTCGATTGGGAACCAAAACTCCAACACTTGTTACATTTTCAACTACTGTGGTTCACTTTCACACACTTCCACTTCAGTCCAAGTTAGACCAGAACTAGCTTTATGGTCTGAGTTCGATTACACATTCACACCTCCCTAAACGAACTAGACTGTCTCTAGGCAAACAGACTGGAGTTCAGTTAAAGCGGACTATAAAGGGATACTGTGAATGCATCCTTAGTCAACTTTGCTAGAAGAGAACACACAGTGTCAACTGGACAGGGAAATTTGCAACAAATACAGTGAGAAATTTCAGAAATCTGTCTGCCCACAAAATGACACTATTGTTCGGCAAACGTTCTTGCCCATTTTCACACCCACATGGTGAGGAACACATACTCAGGTTGGCTAAAATTGAACATTGACAGTCTAAGGGGAGATTTGACAATAGATCAAGAGTTTTATTGTTCAACATATTCTCACCTTCCTGAAATAATGGCCTAGGTGATTTTTTGCCAAAATATTACGTTTCTTTTGGAAAGAAAAAATTTATTTTTTTCTGCAAAAAATACTTGGGCCATTATTTTAGTAAAGTGACGATATATCAGTGCCAGGTTTGGAACATGTGGTCCATTTCAGATGATCAATGATTAATTATTTCAGTTTTCATAAAACATTCCAGACACCAATGTTTAAAAGAGGAACTTTTGGCTGAGACAAGTAAGCTCAGGAGTTTTTAGCAGCCTTTTCCCACTCCAGCAAATCTGAAGTTCAAATCTACAGTCAGCGGTTATTTAGCTTAGAAATAACCTTTATTGTCCCTCAGTGGGGAAATTCAGGCGAACCTGCAGCAAAGTGACAGGCAGGTTGAAACATAGACTCACACCCAAGATTTAAACAATGTACAAAGGAAAATCATGTTAAAAAGCCTGGATACTCTGATGATGCAGCCTAGTAACAGTCAAATGAAACAGTTTGATCTGAGGTGATTCAGTGGTCAAGATATTAGAGCTAGATGTCGCATCTCAGGTGTGTGTGTATATTTGCCACATTCCTCATTGATCTTAAAGGATCATCAGGTGGTACTTAATCTGAAAACTGCTAGCTTAACATAAATATTTTAATTTCCATCTAAAGTGCCTCGCAAAAGTATTCCTAACCCTTGAAATTTTTACATTTTGTGACATAACAACCACAAGCTTTAGTTTAATTTAATGGGATTTTTATGTGACAGACCAAAATTATATCTGATTTTCACAAATAAAAATGTAGGATGTAGATATATTGGTGCCTATTGTGGCATTTATTTAAATAGGAGAAAAAGTTGAATACAAACACACAGATTGAGATTTAAAGTCTCATTTATAAAAGCGTCCTGGGCAAAGCTAGATAAAACAAGAGAATTGCAATTTCCTTAAAATGATAAACAGCCTGAAGCATTACTATCTTAAATAAGAATTGCCAAAAATTGCCATTTCCATTTATAATTTAATTAAAATTAAAATTAGTGTGACCATGCATTTAAAGGCAAAGAAACCTGAAAGACATCTGCGTAGCAGTGAAAGGAGACTTTATGCTGTGAAATAAATTGACCTCAGAGCAGCAAGAACAATCCAAAAAAGGCTGGTCTCAAAATTGAGCCCTGGAGGACCAGAAGCCGAGGTACACTCTGGACATTTCATCAGTTCATCGCAGTGGAACACACACACACACACAGGACAAACGGCAAGACACACACAGTCACACTAATGGGCAGTTTAGATCCCAACGGACACAGGAAAACATGCAAAATAATTCTGATAGTTTTCAAAATAAATTCTAATGAAAGGACTTCTGGCAGTGGACATTAAAGTGCTATTAGAACAAAAGAAGTTGAATACAAACACACAGCTTACTTTTAAGATTTGTTTTTCCAAAAAAATGTAAATACAGTGTATAATTTTCCTTCCATTTAACATCTATACATCATTGTGTTGCTCTGTCACATTAAGTTAAAGTTTTATGGTTGGAAGGTAAACAGAGCAATTAGAGGTTAGGATACTTTTACAAGATATTGTAACTGCTAACATTCAGGATTCTTATTGCACACATACCTGTTGACTGACACCACACTGAACAGTTTCAACTGGCAGACATCAAAGAGCCTGTAGGTGGTGCAGAAAACTTCAAACTGCCAGTAAGAAATGTGTTAATGTGGGACCAGCAATGATCATTTCCATCTAATGTCTGGAATGAAAATGTGAAGCTATCCCTTTAAAGTGTTTTTCTTTTTTAAAGCAAAATAGAACGTGCCTCAGACTGATCAATAACATGATCACCAAAATGATCACCAACATGATCACCAACATGCTCGGACCGTTAAATAAAAAAAGAGTCCTGGTTTCTTACTTCACTGAGTCAGATGATTAAAACCACAGAACAGGGAAATTAACATTTCCCTGTTAAGTTCAACCCAACATGGACCAAAAAGCCTTTTTGGAATCAGATTACTTCATCTGGCTGCAGATGCTTGACATTCACCTGTTTCAGTCATCCAATAGTATTTCAGAGAAATGTCTTAACATGCCTCGTTGTCTCCTCACTGTCATGCAAAACACACTTCTGTATTCATATTGCAAATAACCAACATGGATGTGTTGTGCAAAGATTCAGCCATTGCATGTTATGAATGTTAATCTGTCTTCTTTTTTATGCCATTAAATTGTTTTACTTTCCTATATTTCTGGTTTCCTCTGTCTTTCTGACCGGAGGTCATGAATGCTCCCTCATCACTATTTGCACGTTCCAGACATTAAACCCTCCTTGTATAAATCTTTTGACCTTTTGGTGAGGAAGAGGTCAGTGAAAGCCACTTTGCTCCCTCTGAATAAACTGCAGGGTGTTTGATGAGCTCTTCCTGTTTGGAGGATCATTTTCACCACCGTCACTCTGGGGGTGAAGCCTCGGTTTGAGTCGAGCGTCGCGTTTGATCACTTTGGCTGCAGGAGAGAAAATCAGAGCAGCAGGCAAGAGGCAGAGGCTGGATGAAGTAGCAAGAGCTGTAATCATGTCTGAAGGTTGATATTAGGGAGCAGAGCAGAGAGCGGAGAGCGTCAATGTGACGGTTCTGACCGCATGGGCCACACCTGCTTCAAATACTGCCAGCCTCTCCTCATTTAACCCTGAGGTCAGCAGGGCAACCATGTTCTTACTTATGTGCATTCAGTCACATTACAGTTAGTGCCATGCGTCTGTTACTGATCATATAAACAGACAATCAGCTGCTCAATACAACAAACACCAACAAGAAATCAATTTTACGCCATTTTTTTTTGGATTCCACTTTATCTCAGAGTCCCGTACTAGATAATAGCTGTATTTAAATAGATGTTAAATACCAAAAATACCAATTAAACATACATTTTTTTGTCATTACTTTGGCACCCCCTCTATAGTGGTGCCCATATGCGGCACACTAGATTTCTGTATTTAAAAATAGTTTATGCAAACAGTTGTTAAATACAGAAACTGTCCACTAGAAACCATTTTTCTGCCTTCGCCCCTACAGCACTCCACCAGACAACATGCTGGATTTCTGTAAGTCATTTTTCTGCCTTTGATTTGGCGCAACGCCCACAGATTTCTGTATTTAGTGACTATGTTTCAATGATAATTAAGTACAGAAAATGCTAGTGGGGCACCCCTATGCGCTGGAGTTCTGTAATAATGAGCTGTATAACACAAAAGATGCCGAATGGAAATCATTTTTCCACAATCATTTAGGCACCCCTTCTGGTAATGCCCCTCTAGAGTGGCATTACCAGTTTTTGTGCCAGTAGGTGTCACTAATGGACCCTCTGGAAGACATTATGAAGGTCCTCACCTCTTCGTCAGCAGCACTGGTGGTATTTCTACACATACAGTCAGAGCTGGCGTTGCCACTTCCTGCGTCTAATTGTTCAATTCAACAGTTTGCAGCCTTCTAGAATAAAATTGAATCACCTCACACAGGGGAAAATGTGAGGAAAGTGCAAAATACCGACATTTTTACTCATTTCCTGTGCAGCGCTAAAGAGATTCTGCTGATTTGGAAAGCATCGTCGTTTAGATATCACTTAACCGGATTCAAATAGGTCTGCTAAATCTCTGGTCACATTTAACAAGCAATACTCCATCTGGAAGACCAACAGGAAAAAAGAGCGTTCTTTGTTTTCAGCATTGGGTCTCCATGGGCCAGATGTTATAAAGTAGCAATAGGTCTATGGTAATCTCTGCTGCAGAGGACGCTGAGGCTGCTTTGGATTCATATCAGTTACTGGCTGGCAGATTGCTACAGTGGCAGTGATACTTAGGGAGGAAGGGCCAAAATTACCTCAGAAAGTTCTAAAACTGCAACTTTTTTTTCCTTCAAATTATCTTAGTCACCGTTTACAGTTGAACCCATAAGTTTACATAGGGTTAAATCAGACCAAACTTCTCTTATTTCAGGTCAGTTAGTATTACCTCAATTATTCCTGACACAATAATGACAGAAAGAATATGTCAGAGATGTATTTATTAATGTCTTCAAAATCTGATGCTTACATATATTTACTGAGCTTATTGTATTAAGTTTATTAATCAAAATCCCAACAGTTAAAGTTGTAGATCATTTGTTCTTAAACATTTTATTTAAATACAATTTTTTCCTCTATAGACAGATCTTTAAAAACAGATTAACAACTGGACTTACACTCTAAAGAAAATAGTTGAACCAACT